CTTGAAGTTAATTTTTTTCAAACCAAAAGAATAAATTTCTAAGTTCTTTTAATCATAGACCTTTTTTAAAACATCAACATTTTTTAATGTTTTACCATTTTTTAATGGTAAATGAATATAAACCTAGACTCTGTATTTCCCAGACCATAAGGGGGCACTATTCCCAAAGCGATTCTAGAGATTTCATTGAAACATTCTTCCTATAACATAATTCTCTCATAAACTGTTTTACACTTTCTTCTTGCACATTTTATTCTAATAAGTAAACAAATATCCAACTAGTGTAATTACTGTGTACAAACAACTAAGAGGAAATACATTTGAACCCAATACTCAGTTATCATATGTCTTAGAAATAATCTTCATATAGCTCTAAATTAAGTCAAGATGTTTTGGGAAAGGAAAAACCCCCAAATACATAGTAGTAAATAGTTCAATAATAGTTTGAAGAACCATCCTGCATTTCTGGACTCTTAACATCCAAAATACTTCTCATCAGTTCTCTCATTTGATCAGTTATTCAACAGTTTATTCTCAAATTATATATGTGTTCATTGAAGATTAAAACATCATTTTTCCAGAAAATTCCAAACATTCTAAAAAAAACTGTGGTGGTGGTGTTTTTCAAAAATGTATTCAGTTAAAAAAAAAATTGTTTTTTCACTGAGTGCCTCTGATGTGCTATGCGCTCAACTATATTCTGGGAAAACAGGAAAAAGATAGCCACTAAAGTCAAGAAGATAATTATTAATTTTAGGAAGTTAGACAAAAATATTCACATTGGTCTCTCATATGAGCACAAATACTTCATAAGATTCTGACTTACCCCCAACTTTATCAAAATTTATGCTAACAATACCACTAATAAAACAAAATATCATCAAATCTACCACAACACATTTTGTCCCAGCACTACCCTTTATCATTGCTCATTCTCTGTAGTGCATTTCCTTACTTCTTAAATAAGGAAGTGTATTTTCTTCCTAAACAAAAGTATAGTAGCTTACCAGAGGGGAGAAATTTTCTGTACAATTATTATTATTCCAATCACCTCTGCAGAATGAAACTGAAAAATGTAAAATTAAAAATAGTGAAATATTTAATAAGCTTTAAGAGAAAAAAATTTTTTAAGTTTTTTAAGTTGGTATCTTTAGGTCATCTATTTGCATCACAGGTAACTTATAGTTTTTTTTGCCCTAAGCAGAGTAAAAACTGTACTATTTCACTTTCCTAATACGTGTTTAGACACTAGAAATCTAAATTTTAATTTAAAAATATATTTACTGCCCGGGCGGTGTAGTTCAGTGGTTAAGCACTGACCTATGAACCAGCAGGTCAGAATTTGATTCCCAGTCATGACACATGCCTGGGTTGCAAGCTTGATCCCCAGTAGGGGACATGCAGGAGGCAGCGGATCAATGATTCTCTCTCACCATTGATGTTTCTCTCTCCCTCTTCCATCCTCTCTGAAATCAACAAAAACATATTTTTAAAAAATAAATACAAATATATATACTTACAGAACATACACCATCTATAACTTAGTGAAGATTGTCATCTATGTGCTGTAACAGTCAAGAATCACCTATAATTATCTACCAATTGTCAGCTACATGCTGTAGCAGTAAAGAATCACCTATAATTATCTATCAACTGACTACAAATGGGCTTTTCTAATATGCTTGAAAATAATCTGAAGTAAATATCACCCTTCAAATATTATTTACAAATTATCAATTTGCTTAACAACCTTTTCCCATACAGAAAAATGTAAGATTCAACAAAATTAGAATTAGATCAAATAAATAATACCTACTGTGGATTTAAAGAAAAATCAGGAATATAATATTCTTGCATGTTTGTCCATCCTCAAATACTTTAACAAAAAAGTACAAAAAAGTACAAACAAGTCAAATGATAAAAAGAGATAGTTTTATAATGCCATTTTGCAAAGCAACCTAGGCAGATCTAAAATCAAGTATATTTCTTGTGGTGGTGACTTGAGTAACAAAGTTTAAAATATAGCTGTAGTTTCCACATAGACTATAGTCAGTTCTTCACTTAGAACACTGCTGACCTTATACCACTTACTTCTCCCATCTAAATATAGCTATTAGCTATGCAAATTAACCATAGCTATTAGCTATGCAAATAGCTTGGTGATCATTACTAATATAATTTCCATCCTTAGAAATAATTTAACAGTCCCTACATTTCAAAAACTTATCTATTGAGTTTCAGGGGTATTTTTAATCCAAAAACAGTACTTTGACTACAAAAACTACATAAATTACATAAACATATAAAATTACACTGGTATTCACACTAAACATAGAGTCCTTTATATAAGGTTAATATATTCGGTATATTCTTTTATTTAAAAAAGAAAAAAATAAAAGAAAAGCCTGCCAACTTTTTTAAATGAGCTTCTTCTAGATCTAATTTGGTTTGTTTGGCAACCAGCTCACTGTCACAGAAGGCAGTGAAAAATGTTCCCCAGTCAAGGACTCTCTCCTTGCCCCCTTCCCAGTTAAACAGCTGAGTATATACAAGTTAATACAGAGTTTAAGAACCATTATACAAAACAATAATTTTTTTAAGTTAATGTTTCTCAAAATTCAGTTTCTGCTACTAAATTAGGGGGGAAAGTTAAAATTACTAGACTTCAAGTCAGAAGACCTGCATTCAACTCTTTTTTCTACCATCTACCAGTTATACAACCAAGAGCATGTGACCCATCTGGGACTGGTTCATCTGAGAAAACTTGTTCAACAGACCTTCAAAAAGAACCACCTCACAAAGTTTTAAGGGATAAATATTTAAAATACAAAGTGGCAAGCACAACGAAACAACCACTCAAGTATGTTTTACACATGAACTCCCCATAACGCTCCTTTTTAAAAAAGCTTTATAATAATGCTGGAATTTTAAATTCCCTTAAGTAGCTTAAAATTCATATAAGCTTGGAAACAATACCAAAATACACTAGTAGGAAATGCTGCAAAAATAACAACAGCAAAAAAATGGAAAAAAAACTCACATCTTCCAAAAATAAAAAATGAACTCAAATTATTAACTTCTGAGACAATAAAAGGCTACATCCAAATGAGGGATGATTTCAGTTTTAACCAAACCCTAGCACTAGCACATTCAGTTTCAGTTAAGTAAATTCATCGTGTGGCGTGGTTTTTTTTAACATTCATCATAGTTCTCAGGTATTTTTCTCACAAACACAGAGCAGGAATATTAGACAAAGTAGTTTATCCCAAAAATGCTGTCAGAGCAACAAAAATTGGTGCAAGAATATCTGGCAAATAATGTCACTACCTTATGACTGTAACGGTAGAACCCCTAAATAGCAAGACATCATAAATACCAAAAGGAGCAATCCACATTTTGAGAATATAGAGACTACCTAAGCAGCAGCCTTAGCATGGGAGCAGTGCAGCTGTAAGCAAGTCCAACAACTCGAGAACTGGCTTGAATTCAATCCTGCTTCAAAGTAAGTTATAACTGCACCTGAACAACATGAATGTATCTACCCTGGCCGGGTAGCTCAGTTGGTTAGAGCGTTGTCCCATATGCCAAGAATCTGGGTTCAATCCTCCTGTCAGGTAAGATACCAGAATCAACCAATGAATGCATAAATAACTGGAACAACAAATCAATGTCTCAACCAACCTCTCTTCCTCTCTCTAAAATCAATAAATACATTTTTTTAAATGAACTTGTCTTGTAGCGTCAGGCAAGGAATTTTGAAGGCGTGCTGACCCTTTGAAAGCAGCAAGTAGCAAACTTGAATTAAGAGTTTAAAATTCTCTTCATGGGTCTTCAGGAGCAAATCACTGTCTTCAAAGTGCACTGCAATTAAATTTCCCTCAAACCTTAATTGCACCATAATAAAGCACCAGACACCAAATCTTATATTCTAGCCCAAGTTCTCATGTTGCTGTGAATAATCTTGGTATTTAATATGCTTCATTCGTTTCTTCTGTGAAGTAGAAAGGGCAGAGATTGTTTCAAGGAATAAAAACAGTGGAAAAACTAGATTCTTGAAATGAAACATGGCCAACCTTAAAATTACACATGTAAAACTGCTCAAGAACAATGCCTGCCATCTTAAACACCTAGTATTAGCTATTACATTGATTTTAATCAAGCAGAAAAATATATTTAAAACCAGACCAACAGAGTATTTAATAACCCAAATCTTGTCTATTACCCAGGCATTCAAACTCTTAGAATATATTAGTTTAGCCTACCAGATAATGCAGTGGGAAAAATAAGTTTAAGCTCTCTTTGCTGATAGGTTTTCACGTTAATATTTACTCTTAAGTCTTTTATTTATTCTAGTTGTCACAATTTTTTTAAATTATTCCTTTCTTCATAAAAGAATCTTGGTTACTAGAGTCAAAAATTCTTCAGACAAATCTTTCACTTCCATTTGTTTCCAATTATGATCAAGCTTAAATATCCAAGTATATTAACAATGTCAGAAATCCTAGATGTACCTTAGAAAAACGCTGTTTCAAGCCCATCACCAGAACTGTTTTGACTAGCTATTACACCATTTGCAAATGGAGATAACACCAAAGTGTAAATTATCTTGAATCCTAGGAAAACAACAGATTTAGTCATCAAAAAGCAGCATGTGTGAAAGAGAGAAGTCAGGACTGGAGGAAAAAAGCTCCAAACCCTCCACTCCCTGGCTATATAATCTTGGGAAAGCCACTTGATCTCTGAGCCTCAGTCTCTACCTGTACAATGGGAATCATCTTACTCCTCTCACTAGGTTGTTTGGAAATGCAAGTGAAAACACACACAGAAAAGCATTTTTATGGCCTAAAATATGTGATACAAACATATTACATACATCAGGATGTTTTGTTGTTGCATGAGCATAAACAGTTCCTTAACACACATATTTAAATATAAACTTTTGATCTCAAAGTAAACCATTACTGCTATTCAAAACTACTATTTTAAAAAAGAAAACTTGCCTTAGATTGTGTTCTCTTTCCATTTCTCATGCTAAACTTCTCCTTCATTTCTTCTAAAACTATCTTCAGTTTCTTTTCTTCAGGTGTCCCTAAGTATTTTGGGTTCACATGAAGATAGCAATGCCATTTGGCCGATTCAAAGCCCCAGTGGCAAGTCCTTTTGTCAGGTGACCTGTGAGAATGCATCACAAATGTCTGGGGTGCAAACATTCCACAGCACTCCAGGCACTGAATACAGGGAGCATCAGGCTGGACATAAAACTGGGGTGCAAATAGACCCTGACATTTGCCCAAGCATTCATGTTCCACTTCAAAGGCACTGCCCGTTTCCTTTAACTGAGCCCATGAGTTTTTAGCAGGAAGTATGCTACCATTTTGAGGAAAAGTGCGTGGTCGCAATAAAGCGTTACATAGTCTCTGTGCGTCCGTTAATGTAATCAGCCCACAGGATGGGGCATTGAATGGAAGTATTCCCAGGACCTTTAAGATATGAAGTTGGTCTGAGGTACATCTGGAACAATAGATGTACAATTCGTCACATACTGTATTTATTTGCTGAAGTGAAAATTCTCGGAGAACAGAATTTAAGACTTGGGGCAAACAGAGTCTTTTTTCTCCTCCAACCTGAAAACAAGAAATAGACTCCCCTTCCAACAGAGTCTGGGTGAGTTCTGTGGAGCTATCGGAAGGGATGAGCAGTGGACCAGGAAGAACCTGAGGAGACGGAAGAGGCAGAAATACAGTAGGTGACATGCTTTCTTGGGAATACCGAGCGGAAAATGCTGCTGGTCCACCCAGAGAGCTCTGACTACTTAAATGGAATTGTGCCAAAGTGTGTTTCAAACTGGGATTTAAATGTAAAGGTTCAGGCACCGAGGTACAGGTTCGTTTGACATGCTCTCCATCAGTTTCCATTGGTGCTTCATAGTCATCCAAGTGTTCCTTCTTAACTGTTGGCATCTTGTTTATCATCATTTTTCCATTTGCATGAATGTCTGTCATCAGTTTTTTCACTGGAGGGCTGCCATCATCATCCATCCCATTCATTTTTTTAATTGAGCCCTGAACCAAGGAGAAATTTGTCTGTAGGTTTTCCATTGCTAAAAACTATTATATTAAATAAGTAAGTCTGACACTTGCATTGTTTTTTAGCTGCTTATTTGGAGAAAATGTATACCAATACGTATGGTAACTCACATATGGTACGTTACAAAAAATTTCTATTGGTAACTCATAGAAAAATGAAGTTTCCAAAGAGAGGTCTCCCCAAGTTACTCAATAGATTTTGCAACTGTTTTGATTCTGCTTATACTCTAGCATAATTTCACTGCAAGTGCTATAAAATTTGTCTCCAATAATGAAGAATTTTAAGAGGCACACCTCTGAAAAAGCCTTTGCTTTTTTTTTTTGTCTTCAGATATATGTATTAAAATAAAGATGCCAATCCTCTCAATTCAAGATTTCCAGGTTCAATGCAATGGTTTGGTTGGTTTTAAGCAAAACAAGTCACAATTTTATTAAATTACTTGTGTTATAAAATCTAGACACAAACACAAGTCAAAATGATGCCCCCAAATTTAATTTTTGGCACCAAGACACCAAAAAAGGGGGAGGAGGATGTCTTCTCTAAAAATGATGTTAGTCTATGTTGACAAACTGAAGACTTGTATAAATCCTCACACCAGTAAAGAAGAGCCTCTGACTCCACTTGAACGTCTACAATAAAAGATTTTTAAAAAAATTGCCCAGTTATCTTCAAGGACTGCTATTCATTCTTCTTTTAATTAATCTGGAAGAGAAGGGGGATGGGAGAGAGTTACATTTGAATTTGCTCCAGAGGCCAAAGGGTCAGTTTGAAACCAGTTTCTTAATCTTAAGCTGAGTTCACTTTACCAAAGGTGACACCCGAGTGACTTCTATAACTGTAATACCATTTAACTAGAGGAACCTTCATTTAACTAGGACAGCAATCTGGAGAACAGGTAAAGGGAAATATCACCCCTCAACGGGGAGAGGGCTACTCCAACTCCGAATAGAAAGAATCTTAAACAGATCATCTCACCCAAAACTCAGTACCAGAGGCTTCACAATTATGCCATTTTAACTAAAATAATCCATTACTTCATCTCATTGTTTAAAAATAAAACAAACACCCAGTTTCATCCAAAAAAATCGGATACAAGTTAACATATCTGCCACACGTAACGAAGTTACAACCTTAAATACATGAATTCACTTTGTCAGTGTATGCTATTTTCCTGGAATGATTGTAGACAAAAATTAACTTTCCTAACAGGTTAGCGAAAGTGCTGAATGGAAGCCAAAAAGCTACGGCCTCCATGCCTGGGAGCCTCCATCCCTGAACAAGTCTAATCCAGGACAAAAAGCACAAGGCAGACAGACCTCACAAAGAATGCAAATGGAGGAGAAGGGGGAAAGAAAAGATTCTTCTTGCCTGAGAGAAAACCCAAAAGCTATCCAAGACGTAGAAAATTCTGACTCCCCAACTCCCAGCAATTTACCATAAAACAGAACCAAAGGGGAAAGAGACCAAGGCCACTAGCCAACGTCCTGACTTGCGCCCACCGCGCGAGCACCTCCGCCAACGCACACCAAGGACCGAGGAAGCGGGCGGGAGGCGAGACCGCGGCTGGGGGAGTCCCCGGCGCCCCGAAACCCTCCGCCCACGCAGAGCCACCCACCCATCTCAAACCCGAGGAGGAGTGGCGGCCCAGGGACCCGGCACGCCTCGGGGTGGGCAGGGCGTGAGGGGAAGTGGAGGGAAGTAGCCCCTCGGAACCCCGACCCGCGGTCTCGGGACAACCCCAAGTGCCCTTCCAACACGGCCCCGGCGCGGCAGCCGCGCGGAGGGCGGCGGAAATCCCCCGCGCACCCCCTCCTTGGGAAGTTCTCGAGTGTCACCCCGGCACCCCGAGGCTGTGCTGA